GGAGGGGAGGGGGAGAGAGAGAGAGAGAGAGAGAGAATTCATTTCCGAGGAGAAAAGTCGCAAGTCCAGGACGACTCGCGACGTGCACAAACGAACTCTCGCGCACCCTCAGATCGCGATTTGCCGCGGAAGGCGATAACTAACGACGAGCACAACGTTTCCCAGCGGCGGGAAATTTCAGTCGCGCCGGCCGCATCACACTCGCGCGCGCCAAACTTTACGCTCGCTCGTAGATTCTGAATTAACGACGTATGTAAATAAGCGTTAGATCGCATCGTGGCTTTCCGTATAACGAATCCCGTCTCCGCTATCGCTTCCCGGATGCCGAAAGAGTTACGCAACGCGACTCGACGCGAGATTCGACGCGACGCACGTTCCTGCGTGCGTGCGCGATTTCTCGAGGCGCCCTCCGCGCGCGACTCACGCTCGCGTCCGAGGACGCGACGTCGACGCCCGCTGCATTCCCGATGCAGCAATTGTGGATTATTTGCGCTGCCGGCGTGGCATTGCACCGAGCCGCGCATCAGACGTTTGCCCCGCGGCACGAGGTCAGACGGTGACGCGAGGTGCGAATTTATCCTGCGGATCTCTCTCTCTCTCTCTCTCTCTCTCTCTCTCTCTCTCTCTCTCTCTCTCTCTCTCTCTCTCTCTCTCTCTCTCTCTGGTCGTGTCCTCCCGCTACCTCTTCCTCCCCTCCCTCCCGCCACCGGGTCCCTCGCAGTCCTCATGATCCGACTCCACTCTTGTCTCTCCATCTCTCTTTTTCTCGGGAACGATCGCGAGCATCCGATCGCTGCCTCTTCCTCTCTCCCTCCCCCCTCCCTCGCGCCGACCGTCTCTCCCACGCCCGGCAGCGGGCGCGAGTCCCCCTCGATCGACCTCCGGTTTTGCTGGCGCGAGAGCAGTGTGCAGTGTCGCTGAACGATGAACCCAAACCGGAATGCAAAGAGTCAAGGGTCCGCCGCAATAAGGGATAAATCGAAAACGCTCGGGGGTGAGGGCGGGAGAGAGAGAGGGGAAAGATACATGTCTTCCGTGATCCAAGCGAGGAGAGGATGACCGCGCGCGGCAGCGCGCACCTGCGGTTGACGGAAGAAACGGCCAAATTCGCTCGGAATTTCCACGGACGGATTAAAGGACGGGGAGAGGAGGTGGTCGGCTTCTTTCGCGCTGCTTTAAATAAGAATCTCCCGGGGTGAGTTCCGCGAGTTTCCCGAAATTCGGTGGATTTCATCGGTTCTCCCTCTCGTTCTTTTTTCTCTCGCTCGCGATCACAGCAGCGATCTCTCTCTCTCTCTCTCTCTCTCTCTCTCTCTCTCTCTCTGGCAAAACGAAGCGAAAGGCGAAAGAGACGAAAAGACCATTAAAATCCCCGCGCGCAGGCGCGCACACGCAACCCCCGCGGGAGTTTCTAAAACGATTCCGTCATCGTCCGCGTCGGAAAGTTTCCGCGAAGTCGACTTCTCGCAGCCGGCGCGCGAACCAACTCCGCTCATACGGAATATCCTCGGCGAACTCGACTCGGCGCGCAACTCTGCGCGACGTCGCTTCGTCCATACGGCAAGAAACTTCGATATTAGCGCGGTTAATTAACGCGTCCCTCGCCCCCCCCCCCGCCTCCCGGTCTCTCTCGTTAATGGAGCCCCCCGATCGACGACGCGTAGCCATTTAATTGCCCGCGAGAGTGCACGCGCTGTCTCGCCGTCTTTACGAGTCCGTAATTTCCGATCAGCGCCTACCGCCTTCCGTCTGCATCGCATTACCCGTCCGCGTGCACGACGTCGCGGCGACGATCGACAGCGAGAGCGAGAGACGACTCTCCACTCTCGCGCGCGCGCGCGCGCGCGGATCCCTCCGCGATCAATTATAAAACGGCATCGAGCGGAGCGTGCACATCGACAGACTCGAGACTCGGCGATGTTCCCCGGCTGAACTGTCCATCTCGTCGCGCTCTCAAACGCGCCCCTTCGCTGTCTACGATCCCGTCCCGGCGGACGATCCCACGGGAATTCACGCTCCCGATTTAACTAATTGAACCCCCGTCTCTCTCTTTCTCTCTCTTTCTCTCTCTCTCTCTCTCTCTCTTTCTCTCTCCCGTAATCGCCGAAATTACAGGCGAAAAGGTCGTACGTATGAGCGCGCCGGACTCGATTCACTCGACGGACACACCACGTGGCCCTCGAATTTCCGTCTGTCCGTTTGCCTGTCTGTCTGTCCATCTCGCGTTTAATGTCGTCCTTAGAAGCCAGGAGCTGTCCTGACGACAGGCGCTTACGCAACGCGACGCACGTTCGTAAGTCAAGCGCTCCGAGAACGGCCGCGAGTTGCGTATCCGGTCGCACGCACTCCCGTACACGTGCGTCCCGCTAAAATCGGCTTATCGGCCGCGACTCGCCGTGACTCGCAGAGTGTGCGCATGTGTGTGTGTGTGTGTGTGTGTGTGTGTGTGTGTGTGTGTGTGTGTGTGTGTGTGCTTGGACATAAGCCGGTCACAACGCCGCGGCACGCCGCGTGATCGACGATCGACGCACGACGGCGGCGGAGGTCCGCCGCCACCGTCGCCGTCGCCCTCGTCGTCGTCGTCGTCACCGTCGTCGTCACCGTCGCCGCTGCTGCTACTTTCGTTTATAACGCATTAAGCTGTTACGCTCTATTACGGGACCGGAGGAAATAAGCGGTGAAAAAAGGAATAAAAATATGAATATTGACCAATCACGCGCACCGCGTACGCGCGCCCGGGGGAGTACCCGTGGAATTGCTCAATTTAGCCGTTTCCTTATTTCCACTTCTTGCGCCCTTCCATTCCGTAATGGCTATTACGGATCGCAGCGCACTGAAGAGCTGCGCTACGCCGCGTCGCGCTCTCGTATGAACCTCGCGTGGCTCTCTCTCTCTCTCTCTCTCTCACACATACACACACACTCTCTCTCTCTTTCTCGTGGGATTCTGCCGTTCGCTCCTCTTCACCGAGACTAAACCGAGGTAAAACACGCGACGAGCCGCGATGACGCGAGATTCGAGAGATCGCGCTTCCGATCGCGCGAATGTCCGATCCTGACGCGCGTTTCCTGCTGGCACGGAGGGTTTTTTGCGGTGAAACCGCAGTCGAAACGACTGGGAACTCATTCGAGGCGGTGGCGAGGCTACAAGAGAGTATAATGATAATGTGTCGGTGATAAGGATCGTCGATCCTTATCTCGCGAGCTTAGCCTCAGCTTCTCGGCAAGTCGAGAAAGTCGGCGAATAATCGCCGTTTGAGCCGGCGGGAAGTGTTGCGTATGGAAATGTAGAGTTTTCGGGCATGTTATTCCTCCTGCACCTCTCAAACAGAATACCTCCCCCCTTCCCTCCCCAAATTTTGTACGATGCTTTAACAACGAACGATAGATCAGTGCGCGGATAAATAATAGCGAATTCGCGTGAAATAAAGTTGGCGCGGTATCACCAGCCGAAAATCGAGCGTCTTCGTCGTATACATTATTCTTCCTGCATTCTTCACGCAGGATGTTCTCCCCCCCAAATGCTTGTATGATATAGATTAGTAACGGGCAATAGATAGGATTGGTAGATTGCGGATTGGTGTGAGATAAAGTTTATAAGATATCATCGACCGATTATGACAATGTCGACGTCTGAGCGTAAAAATATTCGGTTTTAGTTCAAACTCCGCAGAAAAATATGTCACATGTCATTAAGTATGTAATACGTTTGGCATTAAATCATCGGTATGTTTACACAGTGCAGAAATTGCGATGTATGATTATCGCTACTCTACCCGTAGAAAACCAATGCGATTGAAAAATCTGCATGTACTACGTAATAATACTGAGTGTTGAAATTCAACACTTACCAAACTGCGTTGAAATTTAGCGATGTCCAGGTCCAGCCAGGTCCAGCCAGGTCCAGCCAGGTCGGAGAAGCGCATCTTCGCTAGACAGCAACGTTCTACGTTGCTCTTGCGCTTTACTCGCAACGCAATTGACGCTCGCGTCAATTCATGGCGTTCGGTGGATATTTAACGAATCGGCGCCATCGATGAATAATTTTAATGTACATCGGGTCGCAATCCGTAAAGTAGTTTAGCAACGGACGAGACGGAGAACTCGGGAATTTGATTATCGTTAAATTTTCCGAATCGAAATTTGGACGTTGTTACTCTGCAAATTCTGTCGAGTTCGAAGCAAGGGAAAATGTCCAGAAAATTGTACACGAGCTATTAACCATATCGTTCTTTTCTAATGCTTCGGAATTATTTAATCCCGTAAATGTATTGGTTCCTCTCGATATTCTATTTATAGCGAAATCGCGATGTTTAATATAAGAAAAGAAAAGAATCGGTAGGAACCGAGAAAATCGTCAAATTCATCGATACGCACGCGAACAAAAGGATAATCCCGCGTGCGCGTTAATCGTATGAAATTCGTATCTTTATGCACGTATGAAAATTAAAGCCGCGACAGTCGCGAAATTGATTAACCGGCCAAATTAATGCAGATTTCGCATTTCCGTGCGTTTCTAACGCACAGCTATTTCGCCATGTATATATCGCGAAGCTCAACGGCCGGATGTTATCGGCCAGAGAGAGAGTGACAAAAAATCGAGCCATCGAGCGAAGCAGCAGTGGTATATCAACAGACCGCGCCAACGACAACAATGTTTAGGTCGTACGGAAAAAAAGGTTGAGTCTTTGTGTCAACAAGACTGCATAGGTCGAAGTATAAAGATACTTCTCGCATAAAATAATAATAGGATTATATTATCTATATCCAATTATAATAAATTACATATAAAACAGATATCAGGTATATTCTCACGAATATTTTTGTTTCTCAAACGAGGAAAACTTGACTCCACTGACATCGCGCGTTCGATGACTCAGATTTATAAATATGCAAAAATCCACAACATGCAGAATCTACAAATCGCATTGATTAACAATAAAATCTCGAAAACCGTTCCCATCACCTACATCTTAAATTCTTTCGTCATATCTCACTCACCGAACCGCTTCGTAGTCAGGGCGGCCACGTTCCGCTGCTCAATTCTGGAACAAAGAGTAAAACGACGCTGATTAGATCTACAAGTTTCGTTCGATGGGCAAGAGGATACACAACTGTGGCAGGTGATGGTCTTTGCGATCGCGATCGATTATCGATTAACCTGACAACTGTGTCTAAGCTTCCGATTATAAAGGACCAAAAAGAGGAGTATAAAGAGCAGCGATAAACTTACCTTCAGGCCGACCCCGCTCGGCCCGAACCGGATCCTCCGGTACGGCATCCGCGCGTCCACCGGAAGTCCAACTGTCCTCGTGGTGTGGTCGCCAGCTCCGCCAGATCTGGAGCAAGAAATAATTTTTCTGATTAGTTAACTTAAATTACAAGTGATATGTCGTACATTATAAAAATACGGAAATATCTGGCACGGATTTATCGAAGGTATTAGTCGCGATTGTCATTTTTCTCCCTGAAATCTAAGCAAAATAAAAGACGATAGTTACTGTTGAAAGCAGCAGGATGCTCCCGGTTCACGATTCACGATGGGGGACGTGTGGGGACGATCATCACACTCGCGAAGTACCGTAATTAAAACTCACACGCGTTATTATACAATGAAAATTCGATCGAAAATCAAGCGCGTGAAGTCGTCCGGTCCGTCCACGCTCGCGCTTGGTGTTGTCACGACTGAGTGTGTATGTATACGCTTACGACTGTGTGCTCCGAAGGTCACGTGACCTACCGTAGGACGTTCGCTCGAAGGTAGCGCTCCGCTCGAATTAAGCCCCTTGCACAATGCCAGGCAACAGGCAATAAGAATAAAAATAGACCAATCACAATAGATTATTCTTGCGGTAGTCGATTGTGATTGGTTTATTTTTATTCTTATTGCTCGTTGCCTGGCATTGTGCAAGGTGCTTTATATGCGACCGTACACGACGCGTTGCGATACGAACGTCGTACGAACTCTGCTGTAACATTTAATTAATTATTTAATATGTTCCCGATAGCGCTTATCGACTCTTCCCGCGTATCGCGCTGCTATCGCTCAAGATTATTCGCTCCGTTATCAGGGTTTCTTATAATTTACTCATTTCGATACATCGGCATATCCGCGGCTTTACAATTGTTAGCAAACGCTTTTGTTTGTACAAAACCGTTTCCAAACGGCGGCATCCGTCGATCCATCTCGCGATTCGTAAGATGGAAGCTGCAGCGCGCGACGGGCGACGAATCGACGTTGCAGCGCGCTTTATCTTCACGCGGTCCGCCGTAACAACGGCCGGCGGCAACGTGTTGTTGCTCGCACCGAGGACGATCGTAAAAATTAGCCAAGCGTTCGTTCCGACAAACAGGTTGCTTCCGGAAGATGACCGGAGTCCTTGACCTTGAAACGAAGTTTTCCCGCTGGGAGCTTCTCCGGCGACGAAAATTCCGCTTTGACGGAATGCGTGCAATTCGCCCATCGATTAATCCAATCACGATAGATGACCTCGCTCGGCGACTGACACGACTCGCGTATTCCACAGTGCGTTTTCCACGCGCTGCGTGACCGATCGTTTTCCACACGACTTTTCGATCGTCTCGGACTTTTCATCAGAGGGACGTCGCTCGTGCTGCTGTTATTTGTTCGAAAACATTCGCCGAGCTCACCGAGCTGTACAGACGGCTCGCGAAATTGGACGAACGAACGGACGGACAGACGGATGCGTCTGACGCGCGAAAACGGATGGCGGAGTTTTTCCCCGGAGCGAGCCTCGATCGTCGTCGTCGTCCTCGCGAGCGAGCGAACGGGCGGACGGGCCGGCGCGGCGCGCGCTCTTTCAATTTGCTCTCGTCACTCTGCATTTGCGAGCGCGAACGCGGAACGGAGTCGTAAAAAGCAGACTGCGAAGCGTCAAAGTGAAAAGCTGCGAGGTCGCTTTGTGAAATAAGGCACCTCGTCGCCTTCCACAAGGCCATCGCGTTTTATCAGACGTCAGCAGACGTCGTTCGCGCGGTCGCTCGGTCGCTCGGCTGAAAGACGGCTATGAAGACAGAGAGAGAGAGAGAGAGAGAGAGAGAGAGAGAGAGAGAGAGAGGCAGGGAGAGAGAGGTAAGAAATGAAGGAAGAGAGTGAGAGGAACGAGACGAGGACGCGAAGGAGCGACTTTTCCGAGCTGCTTCGAGCTGCGCACGAACGTCTCTCCCCCCTTCGCTCTTCTTTCCTCCTGTCCACCGGCTAGGTGTAACGGTAAGGCTCAGCCTCGGAATATGCTACAATAAAGCGAGTCCAAGCGGTCGTCGTAAATTCGGCTCGCCGCAGCTCACCGTGAAGAATTATCACGAATCACACGGGTCTTGTTCTATCGCCGGAGCGACTAACGCGCATTCGCGACGTCTTGTCTCTCTCTCTCTCTCTCTCTCTCTCTCGCTCTCGCTCTCGCTCTCTCGCTCTCGCTCTTCCTCTTTCTTTCTCGTGGCCTCGTGTGACGAGAGAGAAAGAGAGACAGACAGAGAAAGAGATTCCCGATGTCTCGCGGTGAGGATTTCAAGCGGTACCTTTACAAGCGCGTCCGGTAATTAGCAGGGATTCGATTAGCGGACACACGCAGTGCGGTCGTCGTAGTTGCGACGGCGACGGCGACGGCGGCGGAGGTGGTGGTGGTGGTGGTGAGTAATAGTGTGTGGCGGCGCGCGCGCGCGCGCGTTTCTAATGCTCGTTTCATGGCGGAATCGTTGTCGTCGTCGTCGTCGTCGTCGTCGCCGTGCGTGCGTGCGTGCGTGCGTGCGTGCGTGACTGCGTGCTGTGCGTCTATGCGTTCGCCTGTCTCGTCGAAAGAGGCGGAGAGAAAGAAAACGTCTAATTAATGGCCGACCCAGTCCTGATCCGGCGCGTTACGGGATTATGACCAAGTGCCGCAATTGCTCGGGCAAAAGGGTGACTAATAGCCCCGCGCGCTACGAATGCGCTCTCGCGCTCTGCGCACACACGTGCGCACGCGAGCGGGCGCAGCGCAGCGCAGCGCTGATAAACAGCACCGGCGTGGTGCTGTTGGCCAGCGCGATTAACGTTTACGCGATGGGCTCTCCGCCGGGTCCGAGCGGGAAGAGGCACGCCGCCGGAGGCGCTGCCGGCGCGATCACAGCCTCCCGGCATTCGGGCCAATTTTTTGCTGGCGCGCGTGAAATTCGCTTCCAAGATTGAATATCCGAAGGGAGGAAGGGAGAAAGCGAGCGCCCGAATAGGGCCGGGGAGTTCGGATTTTGATAGATTTTCGTGGGAAAAAAATTCTCTTCGCGTCGCGCTGCGTCGGATTCTTCGCGAGTCATTAGCGCTCGACAAAGTGTTAACGACTTTTTGCGACGAGGAAGAGAGAGAGAGAGGGAGGGAGGGAGGGAGAGAGAGAGAGAGAAGGAAAAATTTTCGCCGAGCAGAATCACTCTGCGGTACTCCGCTTGAGTACGCGTGCAAATATCAACAATCGCGCGAACGGACGAGGGGAAGAACGAGAGACCGACCGAGCAGGATCGATCGCCGCTAGGATCTCCAGGATTCGAATGATTCGCGGGCGTGAAGGGTCGACGAGGGGCCAACCGCATAGACTGTTCGACCTTCCGCGTCGTCGGAGACTACACACTTACACACATACGCGCGCGCGCGCTGGGTCTTCTTGCCAAATCTCTCCTAAGCAAACAACCGTACGCGGCAGGTTAAATTTGTTTTCCAGATTAATGCACGGTTAACTAGCCTTCTCCCGTCCCCGTCATCGTCACCGTCGCTCCGCTCTTGTGTAACTCGCCCGGCCAGAAGTTCGCGCGCGCGCGCGAACTAAACTATAATTCTTGCCGTATCTCGTCGTAAGAGCATTTAATTAATACGGTCTAACGGCGCGGGCTATTTCCACGAAATCTCGCAATCTATAGCGCACTTTCGTGTTGCGAGCGTAATAACGTTTTAAGCGTATCGTCCCACCTCGTACAACCTTGTTAGCCGTCGCGGTAATTCCCCGAGCGAGCGACACGCTACACGACCATCCAGCCGGCCAGCCGGTCGGTCGTCGTTCGTTCGTTCGTTCGGTCCGCGACGATACGCTTTTCGCGAGGCACGAGGGAATCCCCGGCGCCGCCGGTGCCGCGAATTAAAATCACCGTGCGCGCCTGTGCCTCGAACGAGATCGTGCGGACCGGATGGTGGTGAGCTCGTTTAACGTCGATTACCCGCGACATCCTGAGGAGATTCTCCTCCGCGCTGAGGCTTACCGCCGCCTTGAGAGAGTCTTCGGGGGCTGGGATTTTTGCACTGAGAGAGAGAGAGAGAGAGAGAGAGAAGCGATAATCGATCTCGTTAGAAGATTCTAATCACCTCCCCCCCCCCCTCGGCGTCGACTATATTTGTTGTTGAAAATAGAGGAGAATGTAAGAATGGTTTCTCGTCCGGCGATTGTTCGAAAAATTAAAATTGAAAATTTACGAAAATTTGTGAAGATTAATTAGATCAAATTGAAGAGAAAAGTCATGTACCATTTTGCGAAAATCGCAACAGCTATTAAGTTATTATTGATTGAAAATAACCACATCTAGAGGCTCTTTTAATCGATAACTTGAAAATTTGCGTACTTATATTTGCAAAATGGTAAGGGACTTTTTTGCTCAGGATGACCTAATCTACAATTACGATTATATGACGGCTGTTGGGTCTAGCGATAAATATGAACATATTGAACTTTGAACTTTGAAACTTGAACTTGTCGCTAGGCACGATGGCCTATAATTCGTATAATTGTGGATTAGGTCATTCTAAATAAAAAAGTCCTTTACTATTTTGCAAGTAAGTTATCGCGAGTTATCAGTTAAAAGAGCTTCTAGATGTGGTCATTTTCAATCACTAATAACTTACTAACTATTGCGATTTTTGCAAAATGGCACTTGACTTTTCTTCTTAATTTGATCTGATTAATCTGCACAATTTTTCGTTTCCGAAAAATCCCGAAACCCCGCCCCCCCCCGTGTATGTATTTTACTAATTACACAATCCGAAATATCAAACTCTTCTTTCCTCAATATCTCTGTTTCTGTCTCCGGCTCCGAGCAGGCTGCTAACTAAAAGCAGCGTTTCCCGATCATTCGGGAGGAATCGCGCGATGAAAAATGGACGCGGCCTTTCGCGATTCCCCTTCGACGCTCTAAGAGAGAAATCTCATCGTTATAATCAGAGATAGAGCGAACGAGCTGCCGCTCTCGTTCAGACGTCGATTATTCATCCACGGACGAAGAATTGATTCAACTCTAGCTCCCACCGACAACCTCTTTCTCATTGACCGTCTCCTCCGCAATCTTACCGACCAACATTATTGCGTAC